CTCGTCGGCCTCGTCTGCGTCGGCCACCACCTACTTGCGCAACTCGTCCTACCCCACCATCTCCTTCTCCTCCTCAGGCTACACCGCCCTGCACAACTCGATGGCCTCGGCCCCGTCCCAAAAAAAGCGCCCCTCCGCCGCCTCCAAGACCGGCACCCTCTCGTCCCAGATCTCCTCCATCGAGTCCATCGACGCTGCCCCAGCGAAAACTATCGCCGATGTCGTCGCCCCGCACGCCGTCCCGCTCCAGGTCCTCGACGACAAATACCACGCCCTTTTGCTCCTCGTCAAGGCCCTCATTGGCGTCGTCTCAAATTCCGATGGCGTCATGGAGATTTGGCCCCCGGCTGCCTCGCCACTTTTATGAGCGCCTTGGGTACAGAAATGGAGCAAGCAGCTATCGAGGAGGGCGCTCAGTTGCTCGAGCTTAGCGGCTGGACCGAGGGCAAGCATGCTGTCACCAATCCCGACGGCTATTTACAAGAATGCGACCAAAATCCCCCACGCGGCGATACCTTTCTCTCCAATTTCGTCATGCTCAGACATCTCCCCGCCGTCATCTCTTTCGACATCGCCGCCACCAAGAAGATCCCAAAGAGCTGGCCCGCTATCGGCGACTATCTTTCCCAGCAAGTCGGCCATTCCTTCCCCGTACTTGCCTTGTTGAACCACTCGAGGGCCGTCAGGGCTATTGCCGGCTGTATTTGCCTCAACTTGGACGCCATCGTTTGCGGCATCGAGCCCGACGCCAAGTACCTCATGGACATCGTCTTCGCCGGCGTTAATCGCAACAGGCTCATGGCCAAGGAGTTCCGCAAGATGACCAAGCTCATGGTTGATTACTACGACGAGGACTGCATCAACGCCGTCTACGAGTTTTCCAAGGAGGACACCGATTTCTCAGTCGATTTCATGGACGCCCTCTCCGACTCAGCCTTGATGGACACTCCCTTGTCCGAGATGCAGGTCCGCATGCTATACATCGCAAAGGCCAGTTCATATGCCCCCACGAGGACAACCCAGGCCGTCGTCGACTCTACAAAAGCCCCGCGTTTCAATATATAAAATGCAGTAGAGGATAGATCTGCATGCTTTTTCCGCAGCACATCTTTCCTCGCCCTGCAATCTACACCTTGATCTTCACTATCCCTCCCATATGCCTGCATCGCCGCAACAAACTCGCGTCGGATAGGTCGGCACCGGCGTCATGGGGTGCGCCATGGCTAGTCATTTGATGACTGCCGGATACTCCTTAAGTGGAGCGGGTGGAACCGGCAGCAGAGTAGCTGGCGCGGCTCGTCGACCGGGAGCAAGCGGGCATGGAATACGGGGCGACCGTCGAGCTTTGGCCAGGCCGACTTTTACGCGGTGCTGGGGATCGAGTACGGGGCTAGCCGGGCAGATATCAAGCGGGCGTACAGACGCAAGGCGATGGAGCACCACCCCGACCGAGTTCGAGTGGGAGTGGTTGCGAGATGCGGCGATGGGCGGCATGCACCGCCCTTCGCATTTGACACTCGCGACGGGACAAGTCTTCCTCCCTCGGAGACAAACTCCTGTCACAGCGTGGGCTCGCGTGAGATGGAGACGTGGATGAGACGTGAGTCGCGGCTGCCGTGCCTCCCTCAAATCGTGACAGGATCGTGCTGTCTCCATGCTGTACTCAATCATGCTCGACAACGTCGTCCTCAGAAATTTCATCATCAAACAGTCCAACGAGCTTCTTGCTAGCTGGAGCGGTAGGGGCTAACGTAACATCAATAAATTCTTCCTCGTCATTCAACTCTTTTGGCGCAGATGGATCAAGGCTTGCGAAGAGGCGCTCGAACAATTCTCCTTGTTGAGCAGCAGGTAAACTTCCTTGAACAGACAGTAAAGATTTCATCTTGTCAAACTCAAGCTGCTTTTCCTTTAAAGCAAGCTCGCGGCTTGCCAGGGATGTCTTTCGCTCCTGCACATCAGCGTAGACGTCCGAGAATCTCGCACTGGACGCCGCAACGGCCTGTAGACTACTTACTGCACAATCCTCGACCTCAACCGCTTTCTTCTTTCCTGATAGAGCATCGCGCCGGGCTTTCTTGCCCGACCTGGTTCCTTCTGGCCTGGCCCTCCGAACTCGCGTATTCTTTGACGAGCTCGGGGTTGCACACGGAGTGTCAGCAGCACTGGAAGGAGCTCTTCCACCGACCTCTGCGATTCCGTCAGCCTCATTGTGAGGCTGAGGGCCTAATCCACATTCCTCCTCATCGGTAGTCCCGTGCTCCTCATAAAGGCCCCTGCATCAAGAATCAAGCTGTCTACTGCTCTGAGATGGTCGTAGCAATTCTTGTAAGGGAATGAATCCCCGATTCTGTAGTTCGGCGTTTGTATTATTGCGTAAATCTGTGAGGTGGCCATAGAAGTGGTACTGCGACGCTTGACTTTGTCGTTGTACATACAAGTTGCGATTCGCAGTAGGTCCTCTTTCGTGGGACCGCCAGTGAGATCCATATTCTCAAGTCTTTTCATTATCGTAGCAAACAGGACGCAAGCAGCTTTAACTTTCCCCCATTGCTTTTGAGCAGTTTGCGCGGAGCGGCCAGTCCAGCGCTGGGTGTCCATAGGGCAACTTGTTCTCTCAGCTGTACATGCGTGCGTTGGCCTGGCGCGCACAAATTATGCATGAATGCGGCGTCTATACGCTGCTGCAGTCATGGATGATCCTCTTGCGGCGTTCTCAGACACTGCGCTCTCAGCAACGCACAGGGCAAGATTCTCCTCGTCTGACCACCCCAGTCCCTTACCCTTTTTCCTCACTCTTACTGCCGAGTCATCAGTCCTAGTAACCACCTCAGCCATTGCCTGCACTTCTCAGAAGACGAGAAGGAGGGAGAAGATGGGAAATGTCCACGAGCGAAGGCTGCACGACACTCCTTTTTGCGTCCCACACTATTGATGGGACTTCAGTCAAAACAGCCCCAAAGCCATTTGGAAGAGCTTTGGTAGAGCTGTAAGCACATGAAATTCAGATGTTTTCTGTACCGTTACTATAGAACGAAGCTCGCCCAAACGGCGCTTTGGACAAAAATCTCGACCAAATAATTTTGGTTTGGAAAAGAATCCTTCCCAAATTCTAAACTTTAGGACAAATGGTGGCGCGGTGGGGTTCAAAATTTCTTCCATCGGTCCGAACTTTAATCCATCGGTCCAAACTTTAGTGGTTGGAACTTTAGGACAGAAATTTTGTTGGCAGTGGGGTCACCCTAAGTGATGATATCGTACAGTACTGGTGATCATCACTCTTTTTCTACGGAAAAAGAGTGATGATCACCATGAGTGAGTCACTCAGGGCCATTCCATTCATCGTGATTGGCAATCGTGCAATCACGCAATCACGCGATCACGACATTAATTTAACGTCGTTCTGCAAGTTGGAGCACATGATTAATTTTAAGTCGATTGTTTATTTCTTTAATGAACATGACCATTTTTTAGGAACCGTAATATAAACAACCAACCACAAGGGAGCAGGCACCATTTATTGACGTGATTGCGTGATTGCGTGATTGCCAATCACGATGAATGGAATGGCCCTCAGTCGGTGAGAGACGCCAATCAAATGTCGTGATTGAGTGGTTTTGAATGATAAATAGTGATACAAAATGAAAAATGGTGATGAGTGTCACTCACCACGTGTCAGGCAGTTACAAAGGTCTCGTTTCAAAATCATCTTGTGAACTACTGAACGGCTGCGAACGAAAATCATACTAACGGAACCGCTCTGGGGCAGTCTCTAGTAGGACAAAACCCAGTCCGAACAGTAGACTTGCGGCCGAATTAGAGGCGACTTACTGTTAATCCTAAATGGTGGCACACATCACTAATGCAGAGCATAGGGCTACCGTTTAGTCCATGTCCAAAAGAGCCGCGCATCAATCTGGACGCAAAACGGATCCAATTGTCAACAACAGGAGGCGATTCAGCGCATCACTTTACGGGGAATTCCTGCTTATTTGCTCTCTCTAGGTTTTATGTGATGCTGCACACTCACTAATTGCGGTACCGGTCCACTGCCCATGTCGCATGTCGACTGCCCAACGCATGCCGTCAGTCCACATAAACACTGCTACTTATTCAGGGACCTTTTTCCAAACGATGTAAACGTAGCGCCCTCCACGACCCTCTTTCAAGTCTTCCGTCATGCCCGACCATCCATCCGGAACTCGATGAAGCTTGCCGCCCCACAGCATTACATCCACAATCTTTTCTTTCACAGCCTTACAGTGCCAAATATCCAGAAAGCGGTAATCCCCACCTGCCCCCTTTGCCATATCCTCCTGGCCCCGATCCTTCGTCCAACCTTGAACCCCGCCACATATTACGACTTCGATTTTATCAGCTCCCTTAGAAAGGTCCTCCGTCCAAGAAGTTTCCAGAAACACATGTCGGCCGCCGAAGCCGCGATTGATGTTACCCCAATCTTTTTTCTGCACGTTTTTCGATTCGCCGGACGACCCCTCTTTATAAGGCATAAAATTCTTTGAATAGGTCATACCTCCATATGTACACACCTTGATATCCTTGAGATACCTTCTCACGGGTCGCACGTGCACCGGGATTTTCATTACGACTTCCTCGTTGATAGGAGGGATATCCGCCGAGGGCCAGACCTGCAGCTCACCGGTATCCCAGGAGACGGTAGGAAACTTAACTCTCTTTTCAAATACGTACACTGACTCACCAGGCTCAATGCTTATGGGCCCGATTTTCTCGCTCGTTCTCTTTGTCTCTGATTTTGTGTCAGAGGTCTCTTGCATGCTGGTGCTCACAACTGATGAAGTCCAACCGACCGTAGTATTTTGCAACACATTAAAGATTTAAGCGGGGCACTCACATTCAACGAGACTGAAACGGACTTCGAGCTGCTCTCTTCACGAGCAATACCTTCGACTTGGGTTCGAGACGTGGTGATCGAGCTCGAAATCTCTCTACTGTATGGAACAGCAGAATGGAATTGGGAAGGATTGATGAAACTGTCTTTCAGGTCCCATTCCATTTTCCCCTTGACCTCAATTTCATCGTCGGCCATGTCGGATGAGTGAAATAGCGAGGATGTGAAAGAAGACGGTCAAGATGCTTGGCAGACGGATGAACAACGTCAGAAGAAAGTGCTGATTTCGTTCGGATATCACCAAGTGGCAAGCACATGTTACATAGTGAGTAGGGAAGGCAGCAAGTGTGTGAAGCATCAGAAAAAAATGCAACAGAAGCCTGTCGCTGAGACTCTCTGTTCTTGTGACCATCAAAGTAGACATTGTGGATGTGAATGGATGCACTTGCAGTGGCTCGTGACTTGAAAAAGGGGCAAGCGTGCTGTTGTGGCAAGACTGTGCTCGGTTGGACCAAACAGCCGTGTACGAGAGGATTGGGAAGTCAAACGCAAACTGAAAATCTGGCGTTGTGGGGACAGGTCCTGACGCGGTGAAAAAAAGGTTCTTTCGACAGAAGTGTATGTAACTTTACAGGACTGGTTGCTACATCGGTACGGTGGTTGGGCGGCGGTTGGGCGGCGGTTGGGGTGATTCGGAGGTTGGTGGTGAGGCTGCAGAATAGGTCAGAGCGGAGGGGATTCGTGAGTACAGTATGTCTGAAAGCATTTCTGCGGTTGGGAGGTGCGTGAGCTGGATGCTTTCTTTGCGTGCGTAGTGAGACAGGAAGTGATGTCGGAGGTCAAAGTACCGTAGTTGGGGTCTCGCGGTAGGGCCGGTATTGTGGGCGACCAAGATGTGGATTGGTTGTCTATCAGGACTGTGCAGTGCACAGTGTCACATGTCACGAAGGGTGTAGGAATATACCGTGGTTTGCATAGTCGAGCAGAAATGTCAGGTTTTTGATTGTGATCCTGTCGATCTAGTCCCGAGATGAACAAAGAGAGTTAGAGAAAGGTAAAGTTTACTCGGGCTACCAGATCGCGCTTCGCTCACCCTTACCGTACAGTGTTCAGTAGATCTCGGGAAACGCCAAGATCATCTGTAGTGGTCATTTCAGTAGTTTCGTCCGACACCGCCCCTCCATCGTCACACCCATTTGCAACAGAAGTTTACTCCGAAAGGTCGAAGCCCCCTTTTTACTCAAGTCTCCTCATTTCCCTACACTAAATAGCCGAGCTACAGGGCGGCCGTAAAACCGAATCTACTCAATCTTCCTCCCTCCACGTCAGCCATCCTTGCCTACAGCCCGGCTGTGCTCAGGGCCGAGGCTCAGGCACATTCTGTCCGGGCTGTTTCACGCAGAAGGCGGCACTGTTGTAATTGATTAGGAATGTGTGGTGATGTCTTTTATTACTGACGTAACAGTCGTGAGATCCTGCTCGACTGAAACTCAAGATGAGATACAGTGTTTGGAGAATGATTGGACAACAACATTCACAGCCAAATCAGATGCGTAGTATGTCGATTTTATTTGCATGTGCGGGGTTACGTATGCTACGAAACCTACTTACTGTTGTAGTGGAAGAAGCAATAGTAGGCTTATGCAGCGTTTATTGCATGGTTGATATGTAAGGTCCCCTGCTGATAGATTGGGCCGCATCTTTTTAGTGTTTCACGATTTGAGCAGGTTTTACGTGAAACTTGCGTATATAAGGGTGAGCGTAACTCGCCTTAAGAACTGTTGCAGTAGAACAAGCTACAAGAAGGAAAGCCTTTCGTTCTCCGCTGCGCTACTGAGTTCTACTCGCAACAGGCACGGCGATTCCCTGATGTGTCAACAGCTCCCTTCATATTTCGATCCGCCAGGCATGCCTCTCGCTGATTCGGCGAGAGCACCCCACGTGTCCGAAAACAATAGAAAATAAACTCTCCGGCTCATCTGGGGGAGCACTGTTTTGCTGGTGTCAACACCCTGGATCCCAACGCTCGCTACCGTTATGATTGTTACACCCCATTAGGCCCTGCCGCTGCTGTGGCGGCAGGGGCCGCCAGCGCCGGAACCTCGGCAGCCACCGAGGGGCGAGCACAGTAGAGAAGTAATCTTGACTATGTATGCTATATTCCGACAACCCGGAGGGCGCGGGGTCACAGAGAGGGCCTTCGCCGCCGAGCTAAAAAATGCACCGGAGTGCCAACTGTAGTCTAGTACCCTTAGTATCCTTCCCTGTCATACCTCAACCGTCGCCACCTGGACAGATTTCTGCCCTCGGTGCAAAAGTGAAGAGCGTCACCAAGCACTGGGAGGTGATTATAGTATAATCAGTGATTACCGTAGGATAGAGGGCAGAGAGTGTGGAGGCGCAGGCCTGATTGAGGGCCAGTCCTAACAGGCGCTTTTCTTTTCTTTTGTTTTCCTTCAACCAGTTGCGGTCACGCTATTGGCCGGATCATTTCATTAAATTAATCGCACGCCACAACGAATGCTACACAGAACCACTGTAATGCTTGGTAATTCTGCGAACTGGTCGAAATCCATTGGCTAAAGGAAGTACCAATCCACACCCAGTCCATATGCACACTACTAAAATTCCATGGACTCGATGCGGTGCAGTGGCACTTGCAGTACAATGAAAGGGTGGAATTAAATCCAAATACGAGCACATGCAGATCAAAACATTAGTTCTCTCAACATTACAAACCAGACACAGTACCTTCTCCCGCCATTTTATGTGCACAACTCGGCCCTCCCCCGCCTCGACGCCCACGTGAAATTTGCGACAGTCGTTTGCTAGCATTTTACACTCTGTTTAGGAAACGGAGCACCACCGGACGGCAGAAGGGTACCCAGAGTTCAGCACCCAGAGTTCAGCTTTTTGAAATCAAATGCCTCCTTGGCATCGATCATGAAATGGAGAGAAGCCGGGGAGGCTGCTCTCTAGTTCATGATCGATGATGAAGTGGCTTCGCCGAAATCCCTTTCCTGTGAACCACCCCGCCCTCGCTCCCTCCCCCCCGCCACCAACCCCCCTTCCCCCCCAAATAAGACCACGTCCCCTCCTCCCCGCCACCCCTACCTCGCGCCCGACCACCACGCCCCATCACCATCTTCCTCACCTCCTCAGTACCGTGACCAACACACATCCTCCGACATGCTATTGTCCCCGCCACCGCGTCATCCTCCTAACATCGACACCGACACAGTCTCTCCCCGCACCCTCCATCCCTTCCATATCTTTCGTTTCATATCTCAATCCAGCCCAGTTTTGGTCATGCACATCGAGGGACCTCATTATAGCAACACGTCGTCCAGCTTTGCTTTTGTCGAGCTACAGGGAGTCAGACTGGGGCCATGTGCATGCGCGAGGAGGCGTTGCTGTACCTTCCATGCTGCATGGATCTGCAGACCGTCCAGACTCTGTTCCATTTCCGAGGAGTGGAACTATGGGATGGCATTACAGTAAAAACTATATAACTATATAAATATATTGTCCAGAATTGACCCTTTTCCAGAATTGAACCAGCGAGAACGGTACAGCAAGTGTATTGCCAATTCTTAGTTGTGCTGGTCCCTTATTATGGATGTCCATTATTGTCCATTGTCCGCAACCAAATTCGTCTTCTTTTCACGGAGCGTTCTACTACTTGTTTAGTACTGGTGCTACCAGAAGGGAGCTGCAAGGAGCTTCCTTTTGGTTTTCAGACTCACTTTTCTTATCAAATGGTGGCAAGGTGGGACTGGGACTTTTTTTAGCAATGGCTTTGAGGCAAACTTTTGATCGCAAAACCACTCTGTAATCATCTGGAGATAGTGTCGTTTGTGGCTGATGGTTAATTTGTTGCCTCTTGAGATCAAAAATGGCCTGAGATGGTTGGCTCTGGCTTTTATTATTCGCATTCTACAGGATACCCTTGAAACCCTCAATGGAATTTAGAGTTATACCTACGGCTAAAAAGCTGTAGCAGTCTGGTGCTGTCATGGACGTCACTATTTGTGGCGATTACAGCGAAACTGTCACAACCCAAGACATTGGTTCTCATTGGTGAACTGCCTGGTGCGGCTGGCCTCGATTCGTTTGGACGCCAGCGACCTACGCTCAATTTCAATTCTACTATACCCTAGTGAATACTAACGTAAGGGAGACATGTCGTAGTGCAAAAAATCTGAGTTTTGTTGTAAAGGGGGGTTGCTGGTGTTGTCGGACAGTGACAAAAAAATCGGACATGCAAAATATTTTGAAAAATATCTCCGACACGGGCCAAGGAGCACCGCCGCGCGTAACAGCGCCAGATAGTGCGCCGTATATCAGAACGACGTGGTTGAAATTAAAGAAAAAATATCTCAATCGATTGCTTACGGCTTTCTACGTATAAGTGTGCAACAACCCAAAAATACAAAATAGGCGGACTTTTCTATTTTTTATTTATTTGCTTGGATGTCCGATCTTAGTGCTCGGTTGAGGTGCAAAAGTGTCCGCGCGCTTCAATATCACTCCTCTTCTGTGTCCGTGGTTGTTTTCGCCAAGTCCCAGTGGACGACAGGCTGAGAGTGTCCCCGTCGCAAAACATAAAAAATGGTGATTGCTTGACAATTACAAGTACTTTTTCCTTTTAATATTGAGGTTTTTGTCCGACGTCTCCAGCACCCCCCCCTTTACACGCCTAATGTCATTCCCCAAGACTTAAACATGTTTGGTTTGCAAGCAATGTACGACCGTTCCATTATCCCAGTTACCACAATTTCCCTCCGCCACATGGCCTTTGGGCTGGATTACCCCGTGTCCCGAAATGCATGCCGCATTGTGAGTGACTATGCAGGCTACATGTGTTTGAAGCATGATGGACCTCACCAAACCAACCTGGACTCCCGCCCGCGTCGCAATCGATGTGGCTGTTGCTGAATCAATATTGTACACATCTGGGGGATGGCGACATCTCTCCGAGATTGAGAGAGGAATAGGCAACACGCAAGTGCCTTGACGCACCTTTCCCATACACGCACAGCCGGAAAACCTTCCTGCTTTCGCGTTGTTCAACATGAGTCATGCGTTAGTCTGATTATCGAGGGTCTCTTTGATACCGATGCAAGCCACTGATGAGAGCACAAGCATTGCACCGATTGCCGGTATCATTGTCAACCGTTCACTTAGAAAAATCAAACCTAACAAGAACCCCAGAGGAACGCTCGCGCTGCGAATGACGAGGGCAGGGCCAGGCCTAGTGACTTGCATTCCGCTGTTGACACAGACTTTGAGGAAAAATCCCAGGAATCCGGTGGTTACCGCTATGGTGGTACCGGTTGCGCTGCTTCGAATTGCGTTGATGTCGTTCATGTCCACCACCAGGAGGCAGATAAGTGACAAACTCACCCCGATAGAGAATACGTGTAGCATAAAATGGACATGCTGTCCCATGGACCTCAGTATCACAAACCCGGCAGAAGCGATGACAGCAGCCATCAGCGTGGCGACGACGCCAAATACCGCTTCGGGGTGGGAACCCAGAGCTGTCGGACGTGTAACCAGTGATACGCCTAGAATGTTAAGGACGAGGATGCCAAAGTCGGAGCGTGTGAAGGGCTCTGAGAGGAAGATGACGGCTAGCATAGTGGTTATGGATGGCACGGTGGCAAACAGCGTGAGGACGAGGCCTACTGGGATGCGTGCAATGGCGACGTTGCCAAGGTAGACGGAATAAGCAGCGCAAAAGCCTCGTATCCCGAGGCGTACGAGTTGTCCCAGCGGCATAGCGGACGTTTTGAAAAGGTTGAAGCGGATGAGATAAATGGTTGAAAGAGTCACATACACGATTGCGCTCATGATCAAGGATGTAGATGGCGGGAATTGCAGAGCGGTTTCGATGATGCGAACGAGAAATTCGCGCACAGCCTCAAACACTGCGGAGAAGAACATGAGTAGGTAGCCCTGGGACTGCGTGAGACCGGGTCCATCTGGCAGGGTTTGTTCCGAAGTGGTGGTTTTGGCGAGGAGTGGTGTTTGTTCGGAGGAAGGGCCGACTGCAAGTTGGACATGCATGGCGTCGAGGATTGGAGAGGGGGGGGGGAAGAGTTGGGGCGGTACGCGGCGGCGGTATGGGTTATGTAAGGTTATTATGGCAGGAATTCACCTTCACCTCAAGAGACGCTCCATAAGAGTGTACAGTACAGTACTGTACCCTTGGTACTGTACTGTGTGATAACTGCGTCTACTGTAACAACATACAGTAGTGTTTTATGTTTTTCGGAGTCGCCCAGTGGGCGACTCCAATAACTGCGTACATACAGTACTGTTTTTGTGTTTTTCGGAGTCGCCCAATGGGCGACTCCGAAAAAACATAAATTGTGTCCTTGATTCATGCAGAGTTTCATTTGTACCCAAGGGTACCCTTGATTATTCCAAATTCGAATGGCGTTACCTGGATGCACTATTTTGCGCGATCATATCGATCAGCTTTTTCATACCTACGTACACCTCGAAAAAAATGGAGCCATTTTGACCTCCCAATGTATGTATGCCCAGAACGTATGCCCAGAATGTATGCCCAGAATGTATGCCCAGAATGTATGCCCAGAATCTGGGCATACTGTACCCTTGGTACCTGTGTACAGTATTACGATCATTGGGACGTGATGTGACGGAAGCCAGTCGTGCAATAATAATGCCCCATGACCTGACCGCGCTCCGCCTGCAGAATGCATTCGGTATGACAAGGGCCGAATGGCAGTTGGATCCGCCGGCATCTATTTCCCTAGTTGCGCCTGCATCAAGAGATAGATTTATTGATGCTGTAATAATAATATTATTATTAATATCTACCGACGACGGCGCTGCAGAGTCGCGCGCACCAGATTCCGATTTTGAAAGCAATATAAACTGTCGAGTGACCAGGTCAATTCTGACCACATACAGTACTTGAGGGCAGAGCGCTATCGCTTTTGTGGTGCAAGAACTGACGGACCGCAAGGACAGACTGTCCGCATTACAGTCTGTCACACGCGGTATTTACACCCACGAGACGGCGACGACGAGTAAAGACCGAACCATGAGGATTACGATTTATCAAGAACGATGGCCTCTTCTTTACTCGTGATCTGTCTTCCTCTACACTAAGTCTAGTGTCTAGACGACAAGCAATTTGACCTCATATGAGGTCAGTCATGGCCTCATATGAGGCCAGCTTTTTTTTGCAAAAATATATAAATTAAATCGAAACTTTAAAACATTCAGTTTGGACACCATTTCTTTAACGTATACGCGCTCGGCAATAACATCTTGCAAAACATTGGGATGGCGGTTGTCAATGCACAGAGAGACTAAGAATCTAATGAAGTATCAATGATGAGTTGACTTTTTAAACAGGCGTTTTGGTTTCGAAGATATCAACATAAAACGTTTTGAGGTTGGTCAAAAAAGGCTCCTTTTTGGGCATTTTAAAAATGGCTGGAGAAGACGTGCAGATCTCACCAAACTCCACCCTTCCACAACGCAGAAGTTAACTGCCGTGTCGAGAGTATCTTTTTTCCATCTTGTTGAGCTAGCACAAGTCGAGAAAAATAAGTTGAAAAGTGACCTCATATGAGGTCAAATGGCCTCATGTGAGGTCATTTGTCACCTAGACACTAGCGGTCTCACTCCGTCGTCGGTGGATCATGGTGCGTGTCTTATGTGTGCTATGTGTCCACGTGTATGGGTATCATCACAGCTTTCGCTGCTTGGATCCTACAGCCCTCTTTAGTTCATCGTAACTTTCAATTCCAAAAGTGGCCTTCATCTGCCGACGGTACTCAACGAGATACTTCTCTTTGATTTTCATTCCGGTAAAACCTTCGCGGACAGCCGGCCTCACTTTTGACGCCGTTTCCGCTGTTCCAAACACCTTTGCGTCTAGGATGGACTTGAACCGATTGTCAGCACACATGTACTCCCGACTGCATCTTTTCACAACCGTATTCAAGCCGTCCTCCGTCAGTGTACGACCCATGAACGCGGCCACGCTCTCGGCCGCTGTAGCACAGTCTTTGACGATGTTTTCGTAAAATAGAATCAACACGTTACGATGCTCCATCAAGTCAACCCAATCTTTTGTGTGTTTGAACCAGGGGCCCATCGGACCCTTGTTCGGGTTATTTCTCGTGCTATATACGGCGTTGGCCTCTGAAGACCCAAATGCTCCAGAGCTCAACAACGTGGATGGCAGCAACCCGAGCAGGTCTCTTTCCACGGTTTCATCGAAAACATCACGTTTCACAGACTCCTCACAAATCGAATGCCCATCTAAACGGTAGTTTTCAAAGGTGAAGTCTAGCCAACTACCGGGAAATTTCAGAGGGTCGCGCAAAACCACAACATGTTTCTGTCGTCGAATGTCAAAATTGTTGGCCGTGGCATGTGTCTTGAAAACGCGCGGAGAAGACAGAACAGGGGGTACGCCCATCTGCGGCATAAAGTCCAGCCACGGGGCCACCTCACAGATGTCAGCAAATTTGGTGCCAAATGGGTCTTGGGGCGGTGCCCCGCCAGTCGCCACCAGCACTTGATAGCATAGCTGTTGCGTTAGAGTCGTACCAGCTTTCGGAAACGTCGTAACAATAACATCCGTGGGGCTTGGATCGTACAGATCCAGGCCAGTAGCCTTTGGGAACTTTTTCCGGTTCTGAGCCAACCAGGCAAACAGTTGTTTCGCATCTCTCAAACCCCGTACCTTTCGATCCATTTCATCCAACATGTTTTGGTTTCCGTCCGGAACGGATCTCTGGAAAGGGATCGAGATTGTTTGCATCTTGCTTGCAAAAAAGTTTGGTTGCGTTAGTTGATGAGGGACAATGTGAAGATGCGGCATTGGAGGTGAAGAACTCATGCCGACCAGGAACGGTGGCTTTGTTCTAAATGTTCTAACCGGCTTTCGTTCTACATCTATGTCAGGAGCAGCTATGATAATTTTTATGGAATGATTCCGATGCTCTGTTTCGAAAGCCTGCAAAGATGCTTTGCTTCAATCGCAAGAGCTGTGCACACGAGTTTTTGTGGCCCACAAAGTTCGTGGTGCCACGTGCTTGGGTCTCGAATTTCCCGTATTGCCGTGCTTGCCAGCAGGTGCAGTTTGGATTGCTTGTAGAGCGTCTAGAAGAGTAACGTCAGCATATTTTAACAATGCAGGCTGATCGCAACTGTATAAAGCTTGGAAGCGGAGAGGGACGAATTCAATGTCAAACGTTGAAACAATTTGCATCAAATGAAAAAGTTGAAATCAGAACAAGTTGGGCGAACAAATTCCATTCTTTTTGTTTCAATCGCAAGAGCTGGGCACACGAGTTTTTGTGGCCCACAAAGTTCGTGGTGCCACGTGCTTGGGTCTCGAATTTCCCGTATTGCCGTGCTTGCCAGCAGGTGCAGTTTGGATTGCTTGTAGAGCGTCTAGAAGAGTAACGTCAGCATATTTTAACAATGCAGGCTGATCGCAACTGTATAAAGCTTGGAAGCGGAGAGGGACGAATTCAATGTCAAACGTTGAAACAATTTGCATCAAATGAAAAAGTTGAAATCAGAACAAGTTGGGCAAACAAATTCCATTCTTATCAGATCAGTTATGGCACCTAGGCAGTGGCTGTCACATCACACAATAGAGAGGCGGCATTTCTAGACACCATCAGCGCAGCACGAACCTGAGATAGAGAGCTTCGGACAAATGAAAAAAGAAATTTCAGCCCTTGAAGCGATGTTTGTTACGAATATCAATGTAGAAGCGTATGCCTCCGGATGCCATCGTCCCAAAATACAAATAGGAATCGGTTCAAGATAGTAGCGGCTGCCTTGTGACGCCATATACAGTGTGCGAAACGCAAATAAATACGCGAAACGCCATGTAGGATCTGAATCGTGAGAAGTTGGCCTGTTTCTCGGCAGTCACCAGGGCAGGAAGTGGACCTGCGTGTCGAGAAGAAGCGGTGATTCTGGATGCAGTTGTGGGATGAATACAGTCATAGTCATAGATGCAGTCATAGACGTCGAAGTGTGGGTCTTTATGACTGTATTCATCTCAGAGACGTCGAAGTGTGGGTCTTATAACTGTATTCATCCCACAACTGCATCCAGAATCACCGCTTCTTCTCGACACGCAGGTCCACTTCCGTTACAGTATGCGGTATGCAGTTCAATATCATATACAGGCTGGAATCGCTGCTCCGCAGCCGGTAGCTGACGAACGCATGCAGTAATCGAGCATATGCAGAAACCCTGGGTGTTTCACAGAAAAACTTTGCTTTCTGATGCTATTTGAAAAAATGGCCAAGACTAACTGCATCTATCAGAGTGGACACGTTGGAACCAATCACTCTAAGAACTCCATAGTAAACACTTGCCTTTCTCCCGCCCAAAACCACACTTGTACGACATCAACTGTAGCCTTTTCAACATAAATACCCAACGTAAAACGCCAAGCCTACACTAGTCAACGCCGTCTGTGAATGTATCTGACTTCTCACATTTGATTACAACCGCCCACCTACCACAACGACTTCGCCTGACAGGTTGCACCATACAATGTCTACCGCTGTAGAGCCAGCCTCTCACTGGGAAACTTTATGGGACCCCGTCAGAAAGAATGCCACCGTGGCGACCGCTGTTCGTGCAGCAACGCTCGTCTTCAAGAAATGTGAATTAAAAGAAGCCGCAGCTGGTATATCCGACCCCGCAATGAACGCTGAAATGCTTGCTACAGCCGCCTTCAGCGGCGTGAAATCCAGAGAGGATTCCCTTGCTGATAAGACGGCTGTGCTGCCTGTCGAGCTTGACCGCTTCGTCACTCTGTGTCAGCGGCGCAGCCGCGACCGCGAGCCTCTGCAATATCTCGTCGGTGAGTGGGATTTCCATGGTGTCAAGATCGCTGTGCGTGCACCAGTCCTTTTCTTGCGCCCCCCAGCAGAGAAGATTGTGGATCTTGCTTTGGAATACGCGAATCGTCCTGGAAAAAAAGGCATAAAAAATGAGTGCCACCTTCTGGATGGCGGATGCGGTAGTGGCGCCATTATCATCGCGATCCTGAGTAAGATGAAGAAATGGACTGGTGTGGGCTTCGATATCGCTGAGGAAGCAACCAAACTAAGCGAAGAGAACGTAGAACGTCACAAGATGACAGATCGTGTTAAAATCATGCAATGCACCATGGATGAACTACAAGATGAGCGCGTATTCGATATGTTTGTGGGATGCCCGCCGTACGTTCCCGATAAGGATCTTTCTGATCTTCCGCCGGAAGTAGTAAATCACCAGGACCGGCGCGCTGTAACAGCCGGCACAGACGGTATGGATGTCATTAGGGAATTCTTGAAACATGCACCCCGTGTAGTACGCAGCGGTGGCCCTGTCTTTATGGAAATTTATCCGCCGCTCGCTCCCAAGTTAGAAGCTATACAGGTTGATGGTTTAGAATTTGTTCGATGTTACACCAACTTGCATGAGAAGTCCTACTATTATGAGTGGATTGTGCTGTGAGATAATGGGCTAACGCGTTAGAGCGGAACTGGGATAAAGCATTAAAATGACTCTTGGACCAGTTGCGATGAAAGGACATGCATATCGAAGACCAGATCCCAGCTACGCAATGATGCAGCCCCCAAAGTCCAGAAACGGCTCTCCACGAAAAGGCGGTGATGCAGCTGGGTGAACAGCTCGAAATGTTATTGTTAACTCCACACAACTCGACTGATACTCTGCTTTCTTCGAAACCGTTGATCGGTTCTCTAAGTTGTAATGCGACATAATCCCACTTTACATAATGAATCGTACTACGAATTTACATGGCCGAATGACGCTTTTAAAGTTTAAGAATATCCTGCTGTGCGTAGTTACCCAGAGTAGTTCCTGGTGAGAAGTCATTAGAAAGAATTCTAAATTTATTCTTCGACATCCGCATTTCGGTTCGCGTCATTGTTGCATGGGCCTGGCCCGGTCGTAAAATGGGCTGCAAGAAATTGCTTTCTCGTCTTCTGGCCCGTTATTCACGCTAGGATTATGTAATCTGTAGACAGCCAATGGCGCACTGAAGCATGCAGGATTCCCGAAATGAAAGACGATTCGAAAAATGACAGCACGGAAGCAAAATACTCTGGATCCGGTACGGTAGACCTGATTGAGTTGGGCAAATGATGGTTACGTAATAAAGATGTTGATCTTGATTTCCTGTAGAATGGGACACGACGATGAAACGACCATGTCGCGAAAACAGGGGGCTGTGCTTGGACAGCCGGATAAGTTTACCTTGACCAACGGACCAACGCCGTGGTCGCCTAAAAACATAGAGAACACTGCGACATCTTTCACCGTGTGCACACCCGCCTGGTCAAAACTTTAAGGATTTGAATCAAGTGGTCCATATGTTCCTTTGTCACATTAACGTTCATAGGGAAAGACTTTAACGCGAAAATCTCACTTTGAGTGACTTTGACGTCACCATCGGGATACTGCGTTTTGCGAAACCCGGAAGAGTAGTTACAGCACGGGGCGTACAATCCGTCAATTTTTTGCCCGCTTCTCACAAATTCCCAGATTTGGTCTGCGAGGTCCTTTTGCAATGCGTTATGGCGGTCCAGCTCGGCGCGCGTTTTCTCGCTTGCATCGGACATCTCTTTTGCATATTGCCGTTCCGCATCGATGCCCTCCGGATAAACGCGAAACACAGTCACCAGCCCGCAGTCAGCCGCATTGCAGCACGTGATCGATGGTTCAGATTTAATGATCGAGCGCAGATAGCGCGACATCTCTACGACGCCTCCGAGAATAACACGAAAGCCTGCCAATCCAAAGTAATTTAGCGTAGCCCATGCTGCAAGTGCTGGGGCAGCGGAGCGAGATACCTCTAAGGAGTACAAACCCGGATTGTATGGAGTGCGATTGTGGATGTAGGCAGACTTTGTGCGACTCATAGTGCTTTCAAAGTGCGCGAAATCGCGGACCATGAACAAAGAGGTTGTGTACGGGGCCCAGCCTGTCTTGTGAAAATCGATAGCGATTGCATCTGCGTGCTGTATCGTTGACATTTTCTCATAGGTGACACGGAGAGCGTTGTTCACATCATGCGAGAACTGGAGGGGGTTGGCTTCAAAATCGTAGCCGCGAAAGGAGAGGAATGCCCAACCGGAGACGGAATCGCAATAAATGAGGGGCTTGTTAAACCCGGGGGGGTTAGGGTACTTTTCAACGAGTGCTGCCACCTTGTCAACAGGATCAATTGCCATAGCGTCTGTGGTTCCCATTGTGCATACAATGGAGACGACCGGTATGTGGTCCCTCTGGCAAGCCTGCAAGCGAGCCTCCAAATCGTCCATGTCCATCTCATTGTAAGGTTCTGTGGTTGCGACCTCGACGACAGATTCTGTACCAAGGCCGAGCCAGTCTGCAGTGATCTTGCTGGCGTAATGTCCCTGCTGAGAGCAGATAATGTTTACCCGTGTGGAGTAGAGGCCGTTTGTGCGGATGTCTCGGTTGCTCATCACTGAATTGAGTGCGTATTTGATGCCGTAGAGATAACATCCCGCTCCGCCATATGTGAAGATGCCGCCGGAATGAGCTGGATCCCATGCATCGATCAAGCGAGTGATCATTGCGATGCTTTCTTTCTCGGCGCGGATCGTGTTCCAAGCGCTATGCCCCGCGATGAAATTTTGGGACGTACAGTTTGCGAGCAATGCGGCGATAATGGCTGCTTTGTTTGGATGCGGGATGACGTTGAACTGAAAGTGAGGATGTGCTGTGTTGTTCATACCGTCGAAAAGAGCAACGAGTTGGGACACGACAGTGTCGAGGGGGGTGGTGTTCTCCGCGATGGTGGCAGCGGTCGTGGTGACATGAGATGCGAACTCAAGAGGGTTGCCGTAGAAGACGGGACAATCTGGCTTGTTGTGCTTCAATTCGTCGAGAAGAGCGAGGGCATGAGTGACTTCTGAACGGAAGGGGTCTTTCGGATTTGCGTAATAGCAAGGGAAGGCGTTTGTCATCTGTTGACGGAGACGAGCCCATGCTGGGCACTCCGTGGTCCTAGGGACATCACGGGGGCTACCGCTACTTTCGACGCCTCGATGAAAGTCGTTTTGAGCATCCATCGAGCTGCCACAGGAACGACCGAGGCTCCGAAGTGAGGAGAGATAGTTTTGTGATGCCAAGAACTAGTCTGATGCCTCCGACCACCGGTCGTGGCTGAGGCGACGGCGCCTTTATTTCCTACTGAGTAGATAGCGCCTTATTGGCATTGTCCTATTTGTACTGTGTCTTGTCTGGATGGAACCACAAGTTTCTGCCTGTATGTGCAGCGTTTTGTATTCACCGTCTCTCCAGTCTATTGGACTTCCTTGATCCATCGTGCATGAGGCCATTCCGCTTCTCTAGTGTTGAGAGCCTGTCCCAACACAGCCATGCCTCTCTTGACACTGACATCAATCTCAACATCTGTGACCAGAATTTGAGGTTCTGCTCTACTGTAAAGCAACCTGCGGCCGAGGGTAACCTGTTTTTGCTGAATTGGAAGAAAAGTGTTAAGTCGAAGCTCGCACCAAATACCGAGGGTCCAATGCTCCGTCTGGTAAATTCACTGTAATGCTAGTACTGCATCAACGTTTGCATCAACGTTTGTTTTGATGTGAGTCTGCATCAACGTTTGTTTTGATGTGAGTCTGCATCAACGTTTGTTTTGATGTGAGGCTGCATCAACGTTTGTTTTGATTTGAGGGTTCTGTCTGCCATTGATTTGTACAAAATTTGTACAAAATCAATACTGTAGCTTGCCAACGCAGAGGCAATTGCTACTGTGGATGCTGGAAATTCCAAGTTGCAAGTTGGCTCAAAGTTGGAACCGACCAACTTGAACAGTGGACCCCTTGTAAATTATTTGATCTGTCAGAGCCCGTGAGACTTTCTCCATAGACGGAAGAAGTTTTGGCCATCAAAATGCTACGATTGTGATCGTACTCGACTACAGTAGTGGGTTTTCGGGCTCTCATTTATCATACATAACATTACAATGGGGGTCTCTTAATTAGTGCACTTTTAGTTAGTGCATATTGGACTTTAATGCACCCTCCGATAGCTTGGCACGACTTTGTACAGCTGTACACGTATGTTCACGGGAGCACAATAGTCGTCCCCGTCCGTAGAGAGCGGGTTCCATTCTTTTACAGATCCCAGCAACCTTATGCATCTTCGAACAACTAATCACACAATGAGCACAACTGAACCAGCATCTAGGGCGTCAAGAACCCGCCTTACCCTTTCGCAAAAAGAGGAGGTGCTGCGGCGACTTTCACAGGGTGCTCGGCACGTCGATTTGCAGCGTGATTTGAACTGCTCTCCAAGATCGATATGCAACATCAAGGCTCAAAAGAAACACATCCAACGTTGAGCCGTGTCTATTATGAACACACGAAGCGTCAGCGACGGCAGACGCTAGTAACGGAACATTTCGTTGCCCCGTAAACTACTTTTTAGCGAGCCCTTTAGATAAAGCACATTGAAGATAGTGCACAAAGAATGCGCATGGCACGGGGGTGCACTAATTGAGGGGGTCGTCTGTAATGTTAACATTGGGAAGCGTAATGATATGGTAATTATGACTCGAGGGGCTCAACCCGCCCATGTGCTGATGCGTAAAGGAATCTGCTAATGTTAAAACGTTAGCAACAACGTTTGATTCTGTTCCAAAAACATAGGATTACTTATTTTTTCGTTACCGTAGTCAAAGTTACTATACAAGCACGCGACTCACAATAGCAAACAGCCAGATGGACATCGTTTTCTGTCCGGAGACCGACCGAAAGGGGCGGTCCGGAGGGGATTTTGGTGAAGGGTAAAATGGTGGTAAATAGGGTTACCTTAAAGCGATGGGGAAAAGCGGCAGCCTATTGCCTCAGAACCGCTACAGAGGGTGAGCACGGTCAATGGACGGGGTTGTCGGGTTGATGGTTCAGGTGATCGAATGTGCTGAGGTCAAAGACGAGTAGCGTCTTCGACCTGGCTTTATAGTCTTATTGACTCTACAATAAAAGTAGGCGCACTACCATAAAAGGGAGGTTGCGCCACCCACGAAATGTGTCCAAACGGTTACACCCTACAACAGGTAGAATTGTAGGTGGCACGTAGAATTGTAGGTGGCACGTCTTTAAGGGACTCTATCGTTGATAGCTAAATGTAGCCCACATAATCCCTGAATTGATATTGATAACAGAGAAGTGTGATATCTACTGTATTCAATAAGTCTAACACTTCCCAAACTTTTTCGTGACATATGTCATGTGTTCACGAATTGCGATTGATCCACTGCTCTATAGGATGTGTAAGAATTGACCGTTGTATCATTTCGATCAGTATATCACTTTTCTTGACCTTGGTCAAAGAATCTGTGTAGTGCAATACAGGGTTCTACAGGGGGTGAAGTGAAAGGAAAATAATTAGAGATGACAAGTAGTCTGGGATGGGGGACACACGTGTGAATAATTGCACTGTTTTAATTTTTAATTGTTTTATTTTATTTAGTTAATTAGTTGGCATTAATTTGGCTGACATTAGATTAGATCTAGGATCTAGCGCCGCGAGCTACTGTAGCGGCTCTGGCGGGGCGATATATACCTTAGCCCACTGACCACCAAGTCAGTAAAGGTGCCCGAGTTGCCAGAGTTTGATATCGCCTTGGTCGAAGTCCGTCTTTTACAAGACATTCCCTTCTACTCTAGCCTACGGTATCCTTTGCGTTCGGGGGTCCCCTTCCTTTTTCCTTTATTTGGCAATCAAACCCGAGTTGCCAGAGTTTGATATCGCCTTGGTCGAAGTCCATCTTTTACAAGACATTCCCTTCTACTCTAGCCTACGGTATCCTTTGCGCTTGGGGGTCCCCTTTTTCCTTATTAATTTTCCTTTACTTCTCTATCCTAATTTCTCTTAATCTTGAGTTGGTCCCACCTTGTAGGATTGCGATCCGCAGCGTGACATCATTAGCCATCGGGCTTCTGTTTTGGTGCACCAGTGGTGCTTTTGTCAGCGTTGGTTCCATCGGAATCTGGTTGCGACCGATCCGATGTTGGTACTTTGCCATCCGGCAGTACGACGGTGTAGCTCTGCTACGTTTTATTCTTTCCCGACAGGCTACGTTGCGAGGTCCCGGTCGAGGACCTTATCAAGGGTATAAGGTGTACAAGGCGCTCTTTGAGCATTGGATCTACGACCCATCGGACCAAGTTTACCTAGACACCCTTCCGAACTCGTCGAGCACTTGCCTTTACAAGTCTCTACCCCCATTTACCGATCCCGGGCTGGGCCCTTCTCTTTGCCCCCCCTATCAGGGATCTGAGCTACTGTGGGCCGCAAACCCGCTTAAAGAGGACAGGGAGCTTCGAACACTCCGTAGCGCTGTGCCGTTGGCAGTTGTTGTTGTTTGTGTTGGACCGTCGGGCCTTGGTCTCTGCCTGACAGGAGCGTTGCACTACAAAAGCGGTCTCCTGACCTAGAATTGTCTACAGGAAACCCGACCTAGAATTGTGTCGACGACAGTCTCGGTCTGGAGACGCACTACAAAAGTGGTCTCCCGACCTAGAATTAGTTCTGTCTACGACAAGGAAGTGGTCTGGGTACGGAGTCTCTTTTTTATTTTATTTTTGTTCGTATCTTTTTTTTAGGTTCGTTCGCTACGCCGAACGATGTCAACAAGCGCACCCGGGGACGTCGGTCCCGGGGCAAGCGGGAGCGGATCGGCACGGGCGTCGAGGATCCCGACGGGTCCTCGCACCCGGAGCCATGCCAATACGGCCACGGATCCCGGAGATCAAGAATCCCCTACGGGGATTGCCGCCGACAGGAATGACCTCGACGAGAAGTTCGAGAAGATGGGCAGCGAAATTCGCCGAGAGAATAAGAAAATTCTCGAGGATGAAATTGCCCTATTGCAAACGCAACTTGAGTTGCAAAGTTCCGAGTTCCACACTGCGTTGGAAGAGCTGACCGCGCGCGTGGGACTCGTCGAGAAAAAATGGCGACGGGACCGACAGCATCGAGCCGGAGGACCTCGCTTCATTGAAGCTTTCGGTCAAGGACGCGAGGCGCGACCTGAATCAAGCCTTGGAGTCCTTAGGAAAATTTAGAACAAGCATCGATGACCGATTCGATCGCGCCACGCAACGTCTCAAGGACCTTGAGCAGGCCGCAGATCAAGCTCGGCAAGGATCAGACGACAAGCCGCTCCCTTCGGGTAGAGAGGGCGACCGTCGGTCGAAGAAGGACAAGCCCGCTCGTCAGCGGAGCTCCAAGTCGAAACCCTCGAAGAAGGACAAGCGACGTACAAGCAAGGGTCACTGTAGTGACGATCCGGAGGACCGCGACTCACAGTCGGAGTCGCTTGGTCCCTCCGAAGATGGTAACGGCGGTTCATCGAACCATTCGGGCGATTCCGAACGCCGTTCAGAAGAAGGAAACGGAATTTCGTCAAGCAAGAAAATTTCCCCCTGACGAGGCGGAGTCACTTCGTCCGCCTCGCGGAGAGACAAGGACGCGGAACCCGAAGATGTTGCAACGCGGCGCGGGCCGCGATGGGAGGAGTTCGAGGAGCTGAATCCGACCAACTACC